AAGTCACACAAAAAAACATTCTTGGTAGTGTGGAGAACTCAGCATCTAAGACTTTTATTAACCCTTTCGCTGCCAAGCCCTCCGGAACATTTTTCAAATCAGCTGGCCAAGCCATTTTTTAATTTTCTGAAATTTTTTCCTATTGATTTGATTTTCAACTGCTGCGTTGCTAGCGTTTGTAAAAGACCCCCCAAACCATATATTTTCTGAAAGCGCAGGCCCGGTAGAATAAAAAGATGGTGATACTAAATTTGTAGGCCGTGCGATAATTGCGCAAATGTTACTCAAATTAATATTAAACCGATAAAAATACACAATTCAATTGTTAAAACACACCAAAATCAGTATCAGCGCACAAAAAAAAAGGAAGCACTTTTGTAGCTCCGTATGCCGTACGTCCTTGGCAGCGAAAGGGTTAATCAATGTATGGAAGACAAAAAAAAATCCCTTTCTATAGAACATTGTTGAAATTTTTTAACCTATTACCAGCTTTTTGGCAATTACAGTCAATACACTGTAGTGTATAACAAACCAGAGTGTTCTATGTACATGGTCTTGGGTATTAAAATTTTTTGCAGCTTCACGGGCGAACACAATTTTAAGGCTTGACATGTTTGGTATCTATTTAGCCGGCGTGACCCTATCTTTCATATTTTACCAAAAAATTGGATATTATATTCTGTTTCTGTGCACTAAATTTCATTTTAGTGTATTTTATCCTACAAATACTGGTTTGATAAACATTTGCGCAAATACCGTGCGACATAAAAAATTTCAACTAGCATTTTTTTTATTCTTCAGGGCTTCTGCTTTCAGAAAATATATCATTGTTTGGGGGTTCTTAGCCGTTTTCTAGCCACAAATTTAGATGTTATCATGTGTGTGCAAATAGTAAGAAATTTCTCCGGACAGTAAGTGGTTTAAGGCAAAATCAAACCCCTCCCTCCAATTCTATGAATAAGCAAAAAGAGTATTATTTTCATTATTGTGTAACTGGTCACATACTACCAAAATAATTAGAGTTCTTCCAGTCAAAAATAAAAATGTATCCTCGCTTTTGGCCCGTGGCATTATCGTACCCACATTTCCCTTGTTCGTGACAATGGCCCCATCACATGTTGCTCCAGCACTCTTAGCCATTTAGATAGAACATTGCTTATAGAGGGAAATGTGTGATTTCTGCAGAATGCAACACAATGCAAGGGAATAGAACGTGTTTCTCCATGAAGGCAAAAGAATGGGTGTACTAAAAAAAAAAAAAAAAAGGAAATTCCAAGGATGAGATGGGTATACCCCGGAAGCACTGGAAGGATATACTGCAGAAGCGCTGCTCACACAATTCCAAAGAATGAATAGGCATGGATGGAATGGGTATACTACAGGAGCACTGGTCACACAATTGCAAGGATGGGTATACTACAGGAGCAAGTGGTCACACAATTCCAAGGAAGGGATGGGTATACTACAGGAGCAGTGATAAAACAATTCCAAGGATGGGATGGCTATACTACAGGAGCAGTGGTCACACAATTCCAAGAATGGGATGGGTGTACAACAAGAGAACTGGTCACACAATTCCAAACATAGGGTCGGTATACTACAAGAGCACTGGTCACACAGTTCCAAGGATGCGTATACTACAGGAAGGCTGGTCACGCAACTCTAATAATGGGATTGGTATACTACAGGAGTGTTGCTCACGCAATTTTTATGTGAATGCACTTGCGTTAAAGTCTGCTGGGTTAAAGCAGCCCTTTCACCTAGGATAACGGGTAAACAAAACAAAAATCAAACACTTTTTTTAATGAAAAACACAGCAACAAAGACCATGTGCATATGTGGTATGCTGGCCGCTAATGTACAGCGCACTGGGTTCCATTCACAATGAATGCCAACGCAGCAGACTGAACAGTGGTGCATGTGTTGCTGTATCAACGTGTGGTAAAAACCCAAGTTGCCAAAATGCTCTAGTCCAAATGGGCACTTAGACTTCACACAAATAAAAAAGGTACGATCGTAAAATGTGGACTAGACAAAGCCAAAACCCCCCCACTTATTTTGAAAAATTCTCCAAAAAGGCAGGCAATGACCAAACTCAATATCTACAGAAAAGAAACGAGAGATGAAATGTTTCCAAAAATCCTTGAATTGTATTAAAATGATCTGAAGGGCGGAAGGGAGGCTGTATGTCTCTACCTCTCTGATCTTATACTTTGCCTCCTCTCCTCCCATCTCCCTTTCCCTTCTCCCTCTCCTTCCCCACTGTGTCTCCTCCCCTCCCCCCCTATCTTGGGGTGCCCCTCCCTTGGAACCAGTTAGCTCAGGCTACTCCTCTGTGACCCTGTCTTGAAGTCCGTACTAACGGGTTACTGCCTCCAATGTTGAAAATGTATATTTGTATTGGACTTCGCCTGAACTGATGTTATGTTTTATAATTTTACAATTTTATCATTTTGAATTTACATGATCTTACATTTTTATATACAATGTATGTATCATGTACTGTAATTGCCACTTGCAGTGGGCATGATAAAACCTGTTTATTTGAGTTTGCATATCGTAATAACAAAATGACGAAACAATAAAAACGTTTTGAACGAAAAAAAAGTAAGCCAATGGAGCAGATTTAGGTGCAGGTATTGCAGACATTTTAAAGTGTATATTAATAAAGCAGTGACATTCATCAAAAAAAATTGGAGTTACGTACCTGGTAACTCTGTTTCTAGGAACCTTCCAGGACAGCATTAGAGAGATAGGCTCCTCCCACCGGAAACAGGAAACACATCACCCACACCTAGAATAAAAAGAGTACCAGCCTAGCACACCTCAGTTAAAACATAAGAACCGAAGGATACCGCATCACAAACTCAGTCTCATGGAAGATGTACACATACAGAATTTATACATATGTATATATGTACTCCAATCTCACAAAGTACGGTATCTCGCAGCAAGCCGCACCATTAATCGGGTGGGAATCCCTGCTGTCCTGGAAGGTTCCTAGAAACAGAGTTACCAGGTACGTAACTCCAATTTTCTCTAGTCACCTTCCAGGACAGCATTAGAGAGGATAAGCGAGCACCATACTTACAATTCAGGGCGGGACCACGGCTTGCAGTACTTTCCTTCCGAAAGCCTGATCTTGGCTTGACGTCAGATCCACTCTATAGTGTTTGACGAATGTAGCGAAACTGGACCAGGTTGCTGCTCTGCAAATTTGATCTGGGGTAGCCCCCGCTCTTTCAGCCCAGGAGGCGGCCAAGGCCCTTGTGGAGTGTGCCGTCACCTGTTGTGGTGGTTTCAGATTTTGTAGATCATATGCTTGGTGTATGGCCATTTTGATCCACCTCCCTATGGAGCTCTTAGATGCTCTTAGCCCCGACTTAGGACCAGAAAACAGCACAAACAAATTATTGGACTTCCGAATCTCCTTGGTCTTGTCCAGGTATTCCAATACGCATCGACGTACGTCGATGCCCTGTAGCGCAGCCTCCTTTTCATTTGCTGGATTGGCGCAAAATGATGGAATTACCACGTCTTGGGTATCTGAGTCCACTACACCAACAGGTTGGTTGCCCTGCATACTCTTATGCCGGAAAACCATAGGCAATTTCTTTTGGACAGTTGGGGCTGTCCCGGAAGCCCCCCTCCATAGGTACCCCAGGTCCACTGACCCTCTGCTGTACCATGTTGGGGGGAAGCCCCTGCTCGCTAGCACGTAGGCCTAGGAAAAATAACAAACGTTACGATGTCCTGCTCGGCCGGAGGAAACACAAAATAACTGAGGTGTGCTAGGCTGGTACTCTTTTTATTCTAGGTGTGGGTGATGTGTTTCCTGTTTCCGGTGGGAGGAGCCTATCTCTCTAATGCTGTCCTGGAAGGTGACTAGAGAAAATGATCTGAAGGGAATATTCTTCAGCACAACTGAAGGTTTTATAAAACAGTGTAGTATGAAATCTAAAGGCCCAGCCTAGGTTAGTGCTCCTAACCAGATACAGGTAGAGCTACCTATGGGATAATGTGCTCATAACCAGGTACGAGAAGAGATACCCTTGGGATAATGTGCTCATAACCAGGTACGTGCAGAGATACCCATGGGATAATGTGCTCCTAACCAGGTATGTGCAGAGATACCGATGGGATAATGTGCTAATAACCAGGTACGTGCAGAGATACCTATGGGATAATGTGCTTATAACCAGGTACGTGCAGAGATACCTATGGGATAATCTGCTCCTAACCAGGTATGTGCAGAGATACCGATGGGATAATGTGCTAATAACCAGGTACGTGCAGAGATACCTATGGGATAATGTGGTTATAACCAGGTACGTGCAGAGATACCTATGGGATAATCTGCTCCTAACCAGATACGTGCAGAGATACCTATGGGATAATGTGCTCCTAACCAGGTACGTGCAGAGATACCTATGGGATAATGTGCTCATAACCAGGTACGAGAAGAGATACCCTTGGGATAATGTGCTCATAACCAGGTACGTGCAGAGATATCCATGGGATAATGTGCTCATAACCAGGTACGTGCAGAGATATCCATGGGATAATGTGCTCATAACCAGGTACGAGAAGAGATACCCATGGGATAATGTGCTCATAACCAGGTACGTGCAGAGATATCCATGGGATAATGTGCTCATAACCAGGTACGTGCAGAGATACCTATGGGATAATGTGCTCCTAACCAGGTACGTGCAGAGATATCCATGGGATAATGTGCTCCTAACCAGGTACGTGCAGAGATACCCGTGCGATAATGTGCTTATAACCAGGTACGTGCAGAGATACCTATGGGATAATGTGCTTATAACCAGGTACGTGCAGAGATACCTATGGGATAATGTGCTCCTAACCAGGTACGTGCAGAGATACCTATGGGATAATGTGCTCCTAACCAGGTACGTGCAGAGATACCTATGGGATAATGTGCTCCTAACCAGGTACGTGCAGAGATACCTATGGGATAATGTGCAAGTGATTACCTTAAACACACGCTGTATTCGTGGTAAAACACACTTCTGTATTGGAGCCAAGTGCACTGGTCATTTTCTGTCTTCTCTGATGTTAATTGAGTTACTGAGAAAAGCTGAAAAGAATTAAACCTTCTAACAGATACTTTCTGTAGGTTCTCTTCGTCTAGGTGTCGCTTTCTTAGTGCCTAGATAAAAAAAAGAGAAAATGGAGTGTAAGGGTCTGAAAGAAACAATGGAGGACTTTCAGCAAATTTTCTTTTTGCACTTAGTGGTCTCGATTTAAGAAAAAGACATTGGGGGCATTTATCAAAACTGGAGCAGACAGAATCTGGAGCAGTTTCCTGTGGCAACCAATCAGCTTCTCTCTCAGTTTTTTCTATTAAGCTTTAAAAATGAGAGTGAACCTGATTGGTTGCGGTGCACATCTGCACCAGATTTCTTCTGCTCCAGTTTTGATAAATTCCCCCTTTGTGTTGAATCCTTATCCTGGATCCCTAGACTTCCCAAATATAACTGCTGAGAGCACCATCTGTCATATAATATATATTACAAACAAGGGAACCACAGGAGGTAGGTACCGATTACACCAAAATTTTACATTTTATTAGCACATAAAATAAAGATTTCCAAAAAGAATAAGGTAAACCCCAAGTTGGCTTTTAAGTTTCGGTCCACCTTTCAGTCCCATTTTTTTTAAGCTTCAATTCTTTTTTTAAAAAATTTTATTTAAAAAGGAGGCGAGTGATTTTCACTGAGTCTTATAATCTGAGCCGACCTGTGACAATGAAACTGTCACAGGTCGGCTCAGTAGATCGGGAAGTGAGTGAACACATACCGTCGATTGCTCACTTCTCGATCTATCCCTGTAGAGAGACGTGACTGTCACTGACGGCTCCCTGCAGGGATTCACCCCCTCCCCTGTGCAGTCCTCCATCGCTGACCGGCGGAACGGACAGGGGAGGGGGCAGGCACAGCTCGCTCTGCCTCTGAATAGGCAGAGCCAGCTGTCAATCCCGCAGCTGGATGGATCTCGACATCAATGTACTGAGCAATATACAAGGAGCTTTATGCCAGGATCACCAGGTATTATTTTATTATAAGCTGCGGATAGCCATTCACTTCTACCAGTCAGTAAAAGGGGGAAGCTAAATGTAATCTGTTAATAAAACATATTTAAAGCAGAGATATCTGATACTTTAGTTCACCTACAAATCTAACTCCTCCCCTCTTCTTCCTCTATCTGTAGGGGTCCCCAAGGCTCTGTCCTCGGACCCCTTCTCTTCTCTATTTCCACTTCCTCCCTTGGTCAATTAATAGCCTCACATGGCTTCCAATACCATCTCTATGCCGATGACACTCAAATATGTCTTTCCACTCCACAACTCACCCCCTCAGTGTCCTTGCGTGTCACTAATCTACTAACTGACATATCCGTCTGGATGGCACAACACTTCTTAAAATTCAACCTTTCAAAAACTGAGCTCATGATATTCCCTGAAATGATTATTTCTATGGGGCCGTTCACGCAAACACGTGCAATCGCGCGTTTCAATCCGCCTGCCACCCAAACTGCTTCCTGAGCTACATTTTCAGCGTGATTAGCGCATTTGCCATATAGATTTCAATAGAAACTTGATTAAAAAAGCCCAAAAACACAATTTCAAAAAAAATCGTGCAAAAACCGCCATGAACCGACCTGGTGTGAATGGAGCCTTAAAAATGCATTCAAGTACCTTAACAATTAACTAAAATGTATCTTATTTGTGTATCACTCGGCTGTAGATCCTCAAATCATCTGTGAATTGGTGCGGACACTCTCCTTCCTTCTGGATTGTAGTCCATCACATGAGTGAGCTTGGAGCTTTACAACACACACAGGAACCATGGGGAACAAGTAGCCACCTTCCAGAAGGAAGGACAGTGTCAGCACCAATTCAGAGATGATTTGAGGATCTACAGACGAGTGATATATACTTGCTAGCTTATATGTATAAATATTATATCCACTTTATATATATATAAATAAACATACAGACAAATGAGATACGTTTTTGTTAATGTGGTACCTGAATAATTTTTTGAGATTTAACTCCTGAATTTAGTGTCTCTTTAAGAATATTTTAGTGATTGGGCTGACATACTGTATACCTTAAAGCAGAACTTCAGTCAAAAATAACAAGATAAAAATTAATCCCTCATTTTTGTTTCGGATATTCAACACCTATAGAACACACTTAATTGAAATATTGTATTTAATAATTTGTCCGGCCCCCATTCATACCAGGCTCTTTAGGTCTGGTAGAAATTTTAAGGGGGACTCCACAAAAAAAGGAGAGAGTGCCCCCCCCAAACCAGACTCTTCATCTGAGCAGTACCCCGGCAGAGCAGAAAAGAGACGAGACGAGCCGAGCATGCGCCCACCCCCTCTCCATTCAACATACCAGGCAACATGCCCTCGACATGGGGTAGGATCCCCATGTTGATAAGGACAAGGGCCTCTTCCCCACAACCCCGGTTCGGGGGTTGTGGGGGTCTGCGTGCAGGGTAGCTTATAGGAATCTGGGTGTCCCCTTTAATAAAGGGAGCACCCGGACGTCGTCGTCGTCCCCCCACGTGAATGAGTAAGTGTAGTTTGTTACCCTTACTCATTCACCAAGTAAACACAAATCGTAAATAAAAACACTATGCAGTTTTTGACAAATCCTTTATTAAAAAACAAACAAAAATGTCCCACAATGTAGATTCATCCAGCAATGTAAATGAAAATAGTCAATAGCAGGATGTCTATCGGCTATTGCTTCCGCAGAGTAGCGGACCTGAGAAATATCTTTCTATCTCAGGTCCGCTACTCTGCAGATTGACAGCAGGCAGTAGGGGGGCAGCCATAGACGGCCTGCTATTGGCTATTTCAATAGCAGGCTATTTCTCCTCCCACTGCTTTCTGTTAATCAGCAGAGGAGCAGACCTGAGAGAACTTTCTCTCTCAAGTCCACTTCTCTGCGGGAGCAATAGCCAGTCTGCCCGGGAGTTGTGGGGCTATGCGTGCAGGGGAGCTTATAGGAACCTGGGTGCCCACGGCAGAGGAGCGGACCTGAGAAATCACTTTCTTTCGCAGGTCTATTGCAATAGCCAACTGCCTTTTGAATTTTTGTTACCGCAATATTTGGATTCATTTACATTCGGCATTTGTTTCATTTGAAAACTCAAATACATTAAAATGTCCAAATTTAAAAAAATTGGGCACAAAACGAAATTTACATGTCTACTGGAAATGCTAGTTTGCTTTTAGGCTAAGTCAATGGTCTATGCTTGTGGAATCACTGACCTGAGAACTAGTATGCAAGTCAGGAATGCTATTTTCAATCTGAAGTTAGAAAGCCAAGCACATAGCATTTCCAAAAAAGGTCCCTCTATTCCTCTCACGACAGCATTACTTAATTTTGTAACTGGTGCTCTTGTTGGATTTAGCTAAGCAAATAGGTCAGAGCCTTTTACTGGATAATAGGTCTGGTTCAGCATTGTTTATAACCCCAAAAAACTCAGGTCAGCTGCCTACCAGAATATACTGAATGGCTAGGTATTTCCATCAATGGATTTCTTCTTCCCTGATGGCACATTGGGCATATTCCAAAATGACAATGCCAGGATTTATCGAGCTCAAATTGTGGAAGAGTGGTTCATGGAGCATGAGACATCATTGTCACACATAGATTGGCCACCACACAGTCCAAACCTTGACCCCATTCAGAATCATTGGGACGTGATGGAGAAGATGTTACACAGTGGTCTGACTCTCCCGTCATCACTACAAGATCTTGGTGAAAAATGAATGCAACTCTGAAATGGAAATAAATGTTGTGACATTGCATAAGCTTATGGAAACAATGCCACGGTGAATGTGGGTTGTAATGAAAGCTCAAGGCGGTCCAATTTAATATTAGAGTGTGTGACTTTTTTTGGGACAGGCAGTGTAGGTTCAGCATTCAAACAGACTATCTCTACTTTGTAAACATAACAGGTAAACTTTAACCTGCAATCCGACTATTCTTATAAAAAAGAAAAAAAACTTAAAAAGCCTTCACATTAAAGGAATAGCAGACATGTATTGCTGAAACATTTAAATAGATCAGTCTCTACTCCGCTGATAAAAGGCACAGACCTCTGTGACACAATAACTATATTATACAATAATAATACATCCACTTACAGCTTCTTTATCCAATGCTACTTGAGATCAACAGGGCCAGTTCTGCATCTTACATTTACACAGAAAAGATCATTGAGCTTTTCCATCAACCACGGCAGAGTATGTACTGAAAAGGCACATTAAGCAGCCATTATGACATGATTCGCTACTGACTCCATGCCATGTGAACAAATGTGGTGCATAATGGCCTAAGACCTAAGCCAGACAATGGCAATAGCAAAGCTACATATAGCAGCATACTAAACAATCACTCCAGGAAATCACAGATGGATGAAAAAGCACATTGTACTTATGCATTTGAAAGAGCTGCTTGCTCTCTGCCTTTTAAACCACAACAGTAGTAACTGACTGCTAACATTGGCAGCAAAACAAGGCAATACTTCCTAATCACCACCTGTAGGCTTACTGAGACCAAGTCATTCGTTCATTAACATACCGTCAAGAAGGGAAATATTATGGTAGGTGGATGCTAAACCTGTTTCTTACAGTAAAGAAAGTTTTAGGGCCCCAAGCAACAAACAGAACATCTGCCACTTAAATCCAATCTTTTCTGGGTGAAACAACCAGCCCATACAATACCCCTTGGTACGTTCTTCAGTATTGGTTTAAAGTTCTTAAGTTCATATTAAAAACTCATAAAAGTTCAAAAACTCTTTATATTGTCTCTAGGCCGTATGACAGGGACCCCCACTCCCCTGTACCTTCCCATACCCCTGGTTGGGCAGTATGGATGGCACAACCACCACGCCCCACGAATCGATGTTAAAAAATGTGCGACTTAAAATTCGTGCGCAAAAATCCCTCAAAAAAGATTAATAATAGGTGTCGCTTTGGTGAGAATGCAGCCTAAGGGCTGGAGCAGACTTGGGCAATCCCGGGACGCGCGTCCCAGGACCGCGTGATCGAGTGCGTTTGCACGCAGTGCTCGCCGCGTGGCCCCATTGATTTCAATGGGGTTACATGTACCTTTTTTTGCAA